TGAAGTGTGAAGTGTGGAGTGTGAAGTGTGAAGTGTGAAGTGCGAAGTGAGAAGTGTGAAGTGTGGAGTTTGGAGTGGGAAGGAAGCAGTGAGAAGTGAGAAGTGTGAAGTGTGGACTGTGAAGTGTGAAGTGTGAAGTGTGAGGTCTGGAGCGTGAAGGCAGCAGTGAGAAGTGAGAAGTGTGAAGTGTGGAGTGTGAAGTGAGAAGTGTGAAGTGTGAAGTGTGAAGTTTGGAGTGTGAAGGAAGCAGTGAGAAGTGAGAAGTGTGAAATGTGGAGTGTGAAGTGTGAAATGCGAAGTGAGAAGTGTGGACTGTGAAGTGTGAAGTGTGGACTTTGAAGTACGAAGTGTGAAGTGTGGACTGTGAAGTGTGAAGTGTGGACTGTGAAGTGTGAAGTGTGAAGTGTGGACTGTGAAGTGTGAAGTGTGCAGTGTGAAGTGTGAAGTGTGAAGTGTGAAGGAAGCAGTGAGAAGTGAGAAGTGTGGAGTGTGAAGTGTGGAGTGTGAAGTTTGAAGTTTGGAGTGCGAAGAGTGCAGTGTGCAGTGTGAGGTGTGGAGTGTCGAGGGAAGGACACGGTCGGGACAGGGTGTCTTTGAAGTATAGGTCATTTATGTTTGGGAAACTTCCGCCGCCGGCTTGCCCGGGTCTATGTTATATATATATATATACATATCTATTTACAGTAGCAAAGAATTGAGCCAGCTGGGTGTGTTGCCTTATCCCAGGACCAATCGTTCGACCGATCCACGTGGAAACGGTCGGATCCCAACTTGCTCCCGTGCCTTTTGCCTCATGGCAAATATGTGGTGACCAAGAGATGGTCCTTGCTGTCTTCGAAGGACATAGCTTTATGCTTTTGTGTAGTTGTTCAAACCTTGTGGAAGTTGTTTACCCATCCAGGAGAAGGCAAAGTTCCAAGGTGTTGGGGAAGAGGAGTATATCAAGTACAAGATGTCCGGACTTTCCGAGAGGAACCTCTCAGACCTTGCTGGCAACGCGTGCTTTAGCTAAGTCTTGGTCTGTTGTTTCAAAGTGTCACTTCATGGCAGCATTGCTGGACACCATGCCACACTTGTACGCAAGGTTCAGTGCCCCCGTCTTCTTGGCTTGCTTCATCGCTGCCATTGGCATTTGGGAGCCATAGATGAGCGTCTGGGCATTAGATTTCGGATCCTGAGCGTCTGAATAGAGAAGTGAAAAGTTGAGCGCCGTTTGAGTGTATACTAGATGCTGTGCGATCTGTGTGGCAGCTTATGGTAAATGTTTTCGATTTTTGCAGCTCCCAGCAGGATTTTTGTTCGAATCTTGGAGGTTTTGACATGCCTCCTGCTCGTAAGAAGGCCAAAACCGGGCCAGGGCCGAGTGATGGGCAGGTGGCCAGCTCATTTGCCATGGTCGGCGACTTGCAGAAGGATGTGGCTGCTTGCGTCGAGCTAGTGCAGCTTGTTGTTCAAAAAATGACTTGTTTAATCATTTTATTGTGTTATTGTGCATTTGTCGACGTAGCGTTCTTCCATTCTCGAATTGGTCATACTGACTCGTCAGGTACAGCTTGCGTCATGGTGTTGACGACAAGAAGGAGCCTGATGATTTTGGGGGGACGCAAGGCATCGGCAGCCAGAACCTTCCAGCCCCGCTAGATGAAAGCGGGCACTATGGTTTTCCCATTCTTGGCGGAGGGACTTTCATGGACATAGCTCAGAGGGCCACTCGATCGGACTGGCTGCTGGAGGAATCGGCGGCTCTGTGCTTTGCGGCAGGGCTGATTGCTGCTGACGATGTCATGCTTTTGAAAGCTGATTACATCACCATCGACGATTCTTGATTCTAATCGTTTGTGATGTTGGTGTACTTCTGCAGTGATTCCCCTTTGTTGTTTATAATCTAATAGTTCGCCCCCCCCCCAAAAAAAAAGCCATTTCGAGGGGGTCCAAAACCATGGCGCCGCCAGTGAGATTTATGTCAGTGAATTTGAGGAGTGGCCGCCAGTTCTGGGCAACCTCTTCAACACATCCATCTTTGCTTGGTCCTACGAGGACGCCAGCTTCTGGCGTGGCAAGGCTGTTTCATGCGCGGAAGTGGTGGCGTATGCGAAGTCCATGAGCTTAACAAGGTTCAAAGAGGTGGGGGTTAGAGCTCATTGTGACAGAATCAGTTCGCCTGTGGTTGTAAGAGTAATGCGCTTATCAATATTTTGATATGTACATCCTTTCAATTTGTTTGTTTTCAAATATCAGCGCAGTTTTTAAAACATGTGTATGTTCTTTGTTCCCAGAACGTTTCTGTCTTTATGCAAACCTATTTCATTTTGTGTTTAGGGTTTAAAGTTGAAAGGGTCAAAAAAATGGGCGCGTCATGGACATTTAGGGGTATAAATAACGAATTGTAAAGTAGTGTTTAGATTTTGGCCAAAAAACCTTGTGGGGACCAGTTACGGATTTGGATATTGTAGCCATGAAAATAAAAAAATCAATGATGAAGTAAAAGGTTATGAAGAGTTTAGGGTTTAGGGTTGAAAAAGGCTAAAAATTTGGGTGCGGCATGGACATTTAGGGGCACGGGTAAAAAACAGCATCTTTTTAGCAAAAAAACGTTGTGGGGATCAGGTCCCGTAACTGGTCCCCACAGATTTGGATGTTGTAGCCATGAAAGCAAAAAATCAATGATGAAGTAAAGGTTATGAAGAGTTTAGGGTTTAGGGTTGAAAAAGGCTAAAAATTTGGGTGCGGCATGGACATTTAGGGGCACGGGTAAAAAATAGCATCTTTTTAGCAAAAAAACGTTGTGGGGATCAGGTCCCGTAACTGGTCCCCACAGATTTGGATGTTGTAGCCATGAAAACAAAAATCAATGATGAAGTAAAGGTTATGAAGAGTTTAGGGTTTAGGGTTGAAAAAGGCTAAAAATTTGGGTGCGGCATGGACATTTAGGGGCACAGGTAAAAAATAGCATCTTTTTAGCAAAAAAACGTTGTGGGGATCAGGTCCCATAACTGGTCCCCACAGATTTGGATGTTGTAGCCATGAAAACAAAAATCAATGATGAAGTAAAGGTTATGAAGAGTTTAGGGTTTAGGGTTGAAAAAGGCTAAAAATTTGGGTGCGGCATGGACATTTAGGGGCACGGGTAAAAAATAGCATCTTTTTAGCAAAAAAACGTTGTGGGGATCAGGTCCCGTAACTGGTCCCCACCAAATTTATTAGAGAAACTTTTTGTGGCGACCGATTACCGTACCTGGTCCCCACACTTTTTTTTTTTTGTGGCGAGAAAATGGATGAAACCCATCATTCAATCTGTGGCGAGAACATCAATGAAATGTAAATTTCAAATTTGAAACCAACTGCCGTTGGCCCATCTGGTCTCCACAAATCATTTTTGCAGCCAGGTTCAGTATGGCGACCAGTTACTGTAACTGGTCTCCAGTGCTTCTTTTAAAGTAATACCTAAGGGGTCAATACATATTCTATATATTCATGTATTCCATGATATGGGGGGGTGGGGGTAAGTAAGGCTAAAGAAAGCAGAGGAGACCAGTTACCATAATGGGTCCCCACATGCCAAGTTGTAACTAAAACATTTTGTGGAGACCAATTTGCCCATCCCGAGGTTCAAAGTTCAAAGCTCCATTTTTTTAAGCGCCTGTTTAAGATGATTCCGGAGGGCTTGAAATTATTGTGGAGACCAGGTAACATAACTAGTCGCCACAATTTTATTTTATATCCTCTTTTGCAACAATTTGCTCGCCACCAGTTCGGTGGTCGTTGCGCTGATTTGCTCGCCACAAATTTGTGACGATGATTTGGTCGCCACAACTAAGCTTACCTTTGCGAGGATTTGCTCGCCACAAAATCCGCAGAGCCGTATGTTACACTAAAAATGACTCAGACAGCCAGTGGCTGAACTTTTAAAAATGGGGGTGGAGGTTTGATCGTAAATTGAGATGTAGATATAACTGGTATATGTTTGCGCTGTGAACTGCTTTGCCGGAAATTAATATTCTGAGGTTTCAGTGGCTGATTTTTGTTTTCCACGCTCTCATGCCAACATGAATGGGGTTGGCGATGATGATGGCATGATGATGATGACGATGATGGTAATGATTCATGATCATATTGTTGTTGTTGTTGTTGTTGTTGATGATGATGATGATATGACGACGACAATGATGCAGATTCTACCTGGGGTTTCCGGATGGTTGCGCTGCTTCTTTCAGGGCGAGATCGTGGCTGCCCGCTTCGATTCTTGGCCCCCGCCAGATGACATGAAGCCAGACGAGGAGATGGGAATCGTGAGACTTCTTCAGTTTGGAGACGGATCGCAGAAGATGTTGGCTGCCATGATCACATGGATTTGCATCCTCTTGGTCTGGAAAGGCCATGGTCCAGATGCCTTGAGAGCGCCCATGGTTCAGACAATGATCCGATCTTTTTTGGCCATAGCAACGACAGTGAAATCAACTGAGATCATGTCAAGTCCTCTGGATGCTATGATGGGAAGAAGAGCCGACCAAAATGTGGCAGCCCGCGTTCAGCCCATCAGCTCTTTTCAGTGGGCTGGCATCCTGGTGAACTTTCTGCAAGGAGACCGAGACTCAGAGTCATTCGATGACATGATCCAGAAATACAACTCGCACCCGGTCGTAGTGGCGCACGACCGCAACGAGTCTGGCAGTGGCTCGATAGCCCTTGATGGACGAAAAAAAATGGGAGTGAGGAACTGGGTGGAGAGTTGCTCCCCAGAAGCCTATGACGTTGTTCTCAACTCGATGCAGGACCTGCCGTACCTCCTTGGCCCGTTTGGCGAATCGTTCGCCTACACGAACTTGTACTTCTTGGGTTCGAAAGCTGGCCTTGATACCAACCCAGACACCAATTCTGTTGATGGGCCCATGGAAGGGGAATCCAGCGTGGAAGTACTTTGATTGAACTTGAAGTGAACAAGACTTTTTTGTTTGTCCGTGCGGTCTGGGCGGTGTATTTTTTTTCCACATTCCTTTTCAAACCCCTGTGGAGGTCGACTGGGCTTTGATCATGACTCCAAAGGCTCAAGAGCTCTTCTTCGAAAAGGTGAAGAACATGTACAACCGTGCAACAGTGGGAATCCCTCCTGCCCAGAAGAAGCGTTACAGACTCAGCCCGGATGAGTGTGGGACACAGCGGAACTTGTCTGTCTTGTACTCACAGGTGGGGCCTTTTCTGATTTCTTGTCTGTGCTTCAGATGATGTTCTTTGAAGTTTTAACTTGCTTTGAATTGAAACGTTTGGGATTCCAGCTCCATGGTGATTTTTTTCCGCCAATTTGATACTCGCCCTAGGAAGGCCAAACTTCCTGGCGATGAGGGTGCATCTTTGGATCGGAAGTTTACCTCTGGGACTTCCTTGGATGAAGATTTCTTGCCGTTTCTCAAGACTCGTCCCCAGCGCATTGCAGTTTCCATGCTGCAGAGCTACCAAGCGCAGGCGCAAAGGGACGCAGACGACCCTTGGGTGTGATTGAGTAGTTGGGGTTTGACTTGTTTTTGTTCTTTTTTCGATGTTCCATGCCACGTCTGTTCAAGACTTTCTTTTTGATGTTTTATGCCGCGTCAAATCGAGACGTGAGATTGACAATGATTACACATTCGAGGACAAGCAACAACTGATCCACTGTGAAGTACAAGCCCAGAAAGAAGCTGTTACAGCTGCGCAATGGAAATTCTTCGAGACCGCCCTGGTTCAAGACCAAGCTTTGATGAGCAAGGTGAAGCGTGTTCCGCTTACAATCAAATCCAAGTTGCACGCCAAGCTTGTGGAGCAACGTCAATCCCAAGCTGACGCTGGCCAGAAGGCTGCCACAGGCTATCAGGCGTTGGGCTTATCAAAACATGTTTGTATCCCAAATGGTGTCGGAAGGAAGCATGTTGAAATAATATCTTGTTCATTCATGGATGTAAGCTTTCAACTCATTTTGTTGTTTTGTGGGTTCCATTTGTCGCAGGATGCTTTCCTGCGAGTGACTTCTGTTGCAAAGCCCGACCTTGTCATGGCAGAGGTTGCCAAGATGAAAACCCAGGTCGCGGCTTGGCAGGTGATTCAGTCTTAAGAAAGAGTACTTTGACAGAATCTTGATGGCTTGATTTCAAATTTTCAATGCAGGCATCTGCAGTTTCACTGAACTTCTATGGGCTTTGTGTTCTTCAATTGAACCATGGCTGTGTATGAGGCTTCCCATGCCAAGATCCCAGCAGATCAAGTGGCGCTCCTTGGGTGGTGCGACATGAACGCACCATGGGCTCGCACGAAAGACAACTGCCTGGGCTTATGCAGAATCATTGCAGCCATTTCGGAGTCCAACCCGACAATGGCAGCAACAGTGTTGCTTTTGCCGGACAACCCCAGGGATAGCAATCCACGAGGTCTTTATGATGAGGAGCGCCAGCTGTTTGACGAGCTGTATTCGCTGCACCAAGCCTGCGAGTGCAGGCTCGTTGAGAACTTTGGGCGTGAAAGCCGCAGAGCGGAGGCTAAGAGCAACAGCCGCCGCTGGGGCCAAGGAAGGATCATTACTTCCAGTTCTATGATGGACGAGAATGGCTGGCTTGACTCCGAACTGGCAGTGTGCGGACGATGCGTGGGACAGAACGAGTCTCAGGACGGTGCTCCCATCGCCTTCCTCCCGCGAACTGCGGCTGTGCTGGTTCCGGAGAGCTCTTCGCCAGAAACTTGTTTGTTTGTTTGCGGCTTGAAGTGTTTGTTTCTTTGTTTGTTTGTTTGTTTGCGGCTTGTGGGTTTTGTAATTTTGGGTCTGAGTCATATCTGATTTTTGCGCTTGAACATCAGTTGAGGACAGCGTCCGCATCTCGGACCGCCTGAGGCCCTCAGCGGAGCAGATTTCAGCCCAGAAGGGTAGCAAGAGGTTGGAAATGCTTTTGGAATCAGTGATGAGATACACCAAGCACAAAGCCATCCTGGTCGTGAATCTAACCGGGTATGTAGAGGACCTGGGTGTTGCTGCAACTTGATAGCAATCTTTGGTGGGTTTTGGATTTGCTGCCAGTGCAGCTGTCGACTTTTTTTTTTTACAAGCTTCCTATGTTCAAGTTGGTTTGAAAACGATTTTCGATGCTGAGATCGCCAACATGCGAACAAAGCCTACTTCTCAGACTCAAAACAATGCAGCTGACGGCCTGCAGATGCCCATGGACAAGCTGTTCTACCTTTCATGCCATTTGCTTGACAACAAAGAAGGGGTGGCATATGCAAAGTCGCGGCTCGCCCGCGATGTTTTGGATCTGTGGCTGGACAAGAGGTTCACCTTTGCCGGCTTGAGCTTTGACGACTCCCAGCCAAACCTGACAGAGGCTGAATCCTGGTGTTGCTACTTTAAAACAAAACCGTCTGAAACCTTTTGTTTGTTTTGGGTTTTTGTTTTGGTGTTGCAGTTTTAATTTTGCCAAAGCTGCTCCTGGTGTTCGCCAAGGAGAAATCCAGCATTGATGCTTTCAAGTTCTTCGACAACCCGCAGTCCATGAATTTGCAAGTGCTGACCAATGTTGGCAACGAGTTTCACACCCACCCAGACCAAGTCCGGCAATGGAGCCAAACTGGAGGCGAGTTTGGAGCGAAGCTTCTTGTTCTAAGAAGTTTTTACCAGTAGTCAGCGGCGGCGGAAGTTTCAAAATCTATCTATGTATCTATCTATCTATCTATGTATCTATCTATCTATCTACCTATCTATCTATCTGTCTATCTACCTTTCTATCTATTTGTCTATCTATCTGTCTATCTATCTATCTGTCTGTCTGTCTATCTATCTATCTATCTGTCTATCTATCTATCTATCTACCTGTCTATCTATCAATATCTATCAATATCTATCAATATCTATCAATCTATCTATCTATCTAATTCTATTCCATTCCATTCCATTCTCTTCTCTTCTCTTCTCTTCTGTTCTATTCTGTTCTATTCTATTCTATTCTATTCTATTCTATTCTAATTCAATTCACCGTAAGGATCCAAAGTTGCGCCAAGGACAACTTCGCCAACAAACGACAACTTTCAAGCAAAACGCTGTCGTTTGTAGAATACGCTAATCTTTCGCTATATATGGCATGCAGCAACATCTTTGAAATGACTATTATAGGACGCAAAGCGATCTCAGCGGCGCATAGTGCCAACGCTGCGCGAAGTAGACCTGCGCGGCGTGAAGTTCCGCGTGGAAAAACAAAGTTCACGCATGAAAATTTTTAAATTTCGCAGAGCAAAGCAAAGGAAAGTGTAAAACATCGGCGACGATGCGTAAACTTTTTCGAAAACAAAAAGCAGGAATTTTCGCGCTGCCATGCAGCGGTGTGCTCACGACAGCTACGCGGCGGAAAGCTGCAAGATAAGCAAAATTAAGAAAAGGAAGGAAGGAGGGAATTAGGAAGGAAGGCAGGAAGGAAGAAAGAAAGGAAGCAAAGAAATCAAGCGCAGAACAAATGGATCGGGAAAGCAAAGCGCAGCTAACCGGCGTAAAGTTGCTTTTTGGCGGCGATGTGCGCAGTGAAGCTGCGCGGCGCGGGAACTTTGCGTGCAATATATATTAGAATATATATATATCATGCAAATATTATAATGTGGAAAAAAAACAAAGAAAAAAGAACATGTAAAAAGGACGATTTTTTTACAAAGCGAGACTTAGCGGCGGTAAGTTGCGCTGTGCGGTGATGCTGAAGCTGCGCGGCGGGAAGTTGCACCGCGTAGGAGGAAAAGGATCGGAATATAGGAAAGGAAAGGAAAAGCAAAGGAAAAGGAAGGAAAATGAAAGGAAAAGGAAAGGAAAGAAACGTGGAGAGAAAGAAAAAAAAAAATAATCAAAAAATCGGAAGGAGACGAAAGAACAATACACACATGTAGACACACACACACACATATATATATATATTATATAAGTTATAATATCTGCTATAGTAGACATATAGAAATATAGAAAGCGCATAATTTGTTTTTGCGCATTTTAGCGCCAAAAAGTGTCTCTTTGCAAGCGACGATGCGCGCAGTGATGCTGCGCGGCGGGAAGTTGCGCCCGGAGGAAAGGAGCAAGGAAGGGAAGGGAAAAAGGAAAGAAACGAAAGGAACGGAAAGAGACACGCGGAAAAGGAAAAAAAACATGGAAAAGGTAAACACAAAATGGAACGAAAGAATATTATATACATTACGTATATATAGAAAGTTAGCATTTTAATAAAAATAAAAAATAAGCTGCAAAGCGAAACTTAGCGCCGCGAAGTGGCGCGTTGGAGACGATGCGCACAGTAAAGCTGCACAGCGGGAAGTTGCGCCGTGTAGGAAGGGAAGGAACGGAAAAATGAAAGGACAGCTATTGAGAAAGGGAAGGGGAAATATAAGGAACAGACAATTGTCTTTTCCTTATATTTCCCCTTCCCTTTCTCCATCCATAAAAAACGATTATATATATATATGTATATATATACCATATTTGAAAATCAAAAATGCGCGCAAGTACATGCACGCACGACAGCTGCGCGGCGTGAAGTTGCAAGAAGTATATGCGGCAAGCGCATGCGCGCATGACAGCTGCGCGGCGGAAAGTTGCAAGAAGTAACGCAGCAAATTTTGAATATAAAAGAGAGGAAGGAAGCAAGGAAAGAAGGAAGGAAGGAAGGAAGGAAGGAAGGAAAGGAAAGGAAAGGAAAGGAAAGGAAAGGACAGGACAGGAAAGGAAAGGAAAGGCAAGGAAAGGAAAGGAAAGGAAAGGAAAGGACAGGAAAGGAAAGGAAAGGAAAGGCAAGGAAAGGAAAGGAAAGGAAAGGAAGGAAAGGTTCGAAAGGTTCGAAAGGTTCGAAAGGTTCGAAAGGAAGGAAAGGAAGGAAAGGGAGGGAGGGAAACAAGGAAGGAAGGGAGGAAGGAAGGAAAAAAACTATTAGAAGAAACAAAGCAAAGCTAACCGGCGTAAAGTTGCGTTTTAGTTTTGGTGCCTTGGCGATGCGCGCAGCAAGGCTGCGCGGCGGGGAGTTGCGCATCGTAGTGCAAAACTGCATGCGTGCCATGCAATACCTTTTCATCTGGCTCAAGGGGTAAAAGGTATTCTGCGGTTTATAAGCATTGCAAGGGTTGCACTGCAACGAGCCCAAATGACTATAGCATCCGTTGTGCCACAGCCGCCCAATGGTGGCAATCATGCCACACTACTAGACACCAATGCACTCATGTGTGGGTGAGGTGGATTTTGTATTTAAAACATTTTCCTTCACAGAGCAAACAACTTGGCAATGATGCCTGGGCACTGCAGCATTTTTTTGCGCTAGCGTCTTGAGCCAGTATATTTATATATATATATACATATTTCTTTGCATTTATAAATATATATTTAAGTATATATATATGTATACAGACATTTGCATGCATATATATATATATTATATTATATTATATTACGTTATAAAACTAAATCTATTTTTTTGTTTACACACACACACACACTTACAAAACACACCTCGCAAGGCATCCCCCCCAAAAAAGGGTTTGGCTCCAGAGGTTTGAACCACGCCTATAGGTTTGATTTCTACCAGCCATACCCTATGGAACGGTGGTCCAGCCCAGTATGTCTGAAAATAGAAAAACACCAAACCCAATGTTTAGGGATCGTCTCCCACATTAGAATTCCCATTTGGTGGTAAACTAGAATTTTCACACAACCACATAGCTCCACCAGCCCGAGCCGGCTGGTCTGCACGGTGCATCGCGATGGATGGCATTGGTTTTTCCTGTTTCAGGACCGCTCCGCATGCTTTGCACGCTCCCTGGTTTCCTTCCAACGTTGGGACAGAAGTAAAGTCAACCGTTGGAATGCCCTTGTAAGCATTGTGGTTTCGTGACACTTTGCACCGATCCTTTTGAGGTGACCTAAAAAACATTCGTCTTGAAAGCAAACTGTGAACCTTGGGTTTACTTGCGTTTTTTCAACAAAGACACCTATCTCTTCTAGAGAATGGTGTTTGGGTCGGAGTTTCCATCTTAGGACCCCCCTACTTGCACAGTTTTGGGACATACCTTGCCAGTGTAGCAAGTGTTGGTGCAGGTGATCATTGATCTCACTTGCCACATCCTGGGATAGGATGATATCATTCCCATCCATAAGGTTGATCGCATGGGTCAGTGCCCAGATGCAAAGGGCTCCACCTTGAAGTTGATGTTCCTAAGCATCCGCTGGGAGTACTTTATGGAACTTGGAATTTATGGAATCCAACATTCAAAACTGATGTGTCCTTTCAAAGATCAACAAAAACTGAAAACATAGTACAATGTTTCTTGGGATGATAGGGCGCCATCACAGCATATCATTAACTACCAGGTAACTACCAACTTTGGAAATCATTGTTTGATAGATGCTTTGATTTTTGTGATTAGGGTGTCTCTTAAAGTTGTATTGCCTAATAAGGGTGGTAAATCGGTTCTTCGATTTGCATGGGAAAGGAACCGCAGTTTCTGCATGGGCTCACCAAGATTAACATATTCGAGCTAGATACCACCAGGGCAGGTATACAGCACCCAAAAACAATCTCATTTGGTTGACAGAAAACTATAACCTCAAAAAACGAGAGTCACCTGTTTCGGACGCGAACTGAACAGCTTTGCATGCCATGTAGCCCAACAACACTTTTACATGCGCCGCTTTCCACGCACTTCCAAGTTCTGGGTATTCTGAGTTGGTTCCAAGACCCGTGTTCTTGGCTGTGAACTGCAGCTTTCGCACGCTGATCCTTAGAACCCCAAAGGTACAAATCTAAACCTTTGAAGGCCGCATCAAATATCGAAAGGTACTTGATCCCGAAATAGGAAAATGTTTGGTAAATCTGTGCAAATGACTTCTCAGATTTGAAGAACTTGTTCATTTCAATGCTGAACAGCCGAAGCCGGTGATCCACAGAAAGGTGAGGTGGCCCCAACACGCCGCACTCAAGAAAATCACCCAGCAATGACGCAACAAGATCTCTCCCTGTTCCAAGGTAAACCACGTGCATGATATCGTGTAGGCATGACTCTAGGGACCATCCTGGTATGATGTGCCACGGTGAAATTGCTCTAGGAGGAGTAGTTCGCATGTAAGTGTCATGGTTGATTCGGGTCAACCACCTCGGTGATTCCAACCTGAAATCTTTGTAGCACATACGATCATCAGTTGTTTTGCTGATTTTTGATGCGAGGCATTGCTCACAAATCAGGCTGCACCCATAATGCCGCAAGAAATTGTTTGTCTCGACACGGGCCTTTGCGTCATATCTCGCCGCGAAGTAGGCCCCCCTGGCCGCTGGCAGAAGTTGCAAAACGATTTCGGACACCGTTCCTAAGTTTCACATTGGGAAATTTGAGTAAAACAGCAAAAAAGCCTCCACCCACGAGCTAGAGGTAGTCCTCGCATCTTGTAGCGATATGACTTGGGGTCAAACTCCTCTCCATCCAACCCTGTGGTAGGAAACACACCCGCTGCAGCACATGATAACGACCATGCCCAGAGTTCGCAAACCCTGCGGTGAACACCCTTCCTCACCTAGGTTGCAGAGACCACGCTTTGTAAGACTACCACACATGTTTGAACCACACTTTCAACCCGACAGAGCGCCAAGTATCTTCATAACTCTTCATGGACTCGTACGCCAAGATCACAGAAGGAAATTTGATGTCAAATACCTGGGTAGGCATGGCAGCCACACAGATGAATTTTGCATGCCAGATGCAGATACCAGAACAAAGGTAGGACAACAGAGAATGAATGGACAAGAAAACAACCCTAAGCATTGTCTAGAAACATCACCAGTCGCGAGAAAACTTCCACAACTCCAGACAAAGTATTCCGTGTTCCGATAGACTTCTGCACCGTCTACATGAAATGTAAATGGTATGGTGCCTTGGCTGTTGAGAAACCAAATGGGAACCTTCAAAAGAGGATTGAACTGTTTCATTTTGATCAAGGGAAAAAACTAAGAACAGTGCGATCTAACGGAAGCGACCCATCACGAAAAGCTTCATGCCCTTTCCACCCATCGACTTGGAGAATGTGTTCCCAAAACTCTTGCAAGGCCCTGGAACTGCGTTGCCCCAACATAGAGATGCTAAACTAGCAGGGTTGTGAGCACTGGTGTAAAAGAACTGTATAGACATAATATATATATATACACATAAAAACATATGTATACATATTACACATATATATATAGACATATAAGAAAACACTCTGTGATTTTTAAAACCTGGAAACCATTTTGTTTCGGTTAGAAAGCGGGCCTGTTCTTGCCCTGCAGCTGCCACAGCATGTAAGATCTCATGAGGCAACAGAGTAGGGATCAACATGGTCTTTGTATCTGTTTCATCACGCACCTGAGTTGGAACCCAAACACTGCAAAATAATGCAACAGATACAACATTGCTTTTTCTTCAACATCTTTTTTTGTATGATAGGACCCATGCGAAACCCACTGGGAGCCCCACTTCTAACTCAAAGGGGGTGTAGTACATGTCCAGGTTTGTACCATGAAGATTTCTAAGCCACCGGTGCATATCCCGTTCCTGGTTCGACGCACATGTGCCGAAGGATCCCAAAGATGCGAAAGCAGCCACTGCATCCACAGGCTGGCCATCTCTGTTCTGGGCTTGGGCTATGGACGCCACTGTCGAAACATTTGTCCTTCCAGACCCAATCAGTCCTAAGAAGCAAGGTTTTTTTTTTGCAATAGATTTTTGAGAATAAGGCCAAAATTTTGGCAAACATCCCATAAAGCTGCAGCAATGTAGCCATGGATCGAATGAACTCTTCCGCTTGATGACTATAGGCCATTGTTTCATATCGGCATCTCCGTTTATTCCTTAGAAAGATGCTTCAAATTCAGGGACCTATCATACTGGGACGATTTCTGTTATTGCCTTGAACCTTTCTTGGAGGTGAGATTGCCCCAACACTGAACTGTGTTTGCAGGTGCATTCAAGTGGCTTCACCGCCTTGGTTTTGGTCTTCTCCCGATAGAGGCCTCCGCAAGTGCACAGCGTAGTGAGGGGATGTGGGAACCTCGGGGTTTTCTGATTCTTGGGACCTTGGGAACCTAGCAAGATTGAAGCCTTGAAGAATAGATTGATGGATATTGATTGCTAATTTTGGATAGGACATCTTCCAGCCCCGCTGACCAGAATGATGAAAGCCATTTTTTCCAGCAGCCCAAGTCGAAAAGTTGATTGGCATTGCCATGGAATTCGCAGAGCGACCCAAATCTCGCTCTAAACATCACGGCATGAGAATTTCACATTGCTTCAAAATCCTTAGGCTCTGATGATCTGATTTGTCACCCACTCTTTGCAGGCTCTGCAGAACCCTTTTCTGGTGCCGCTTTGGCCTTGGCCTTATTCTTGGGTCTCGGTTTGGCATTCAATCCACGAGTCAGAGCTTGGCCAGCCACCTGCGATGTGGGCAGGCTAGAATTTATAAATAGTGTTGGCCCTTTCTTTACAAACATTGGTAACCTTGAATTGTCTCCCTAAACTTGAAACATACCTACACTGAAGTGAGCAGGGAACAAACAGATTTCCAGAATTCCTGCCTTCGCCTTCTCAAGCCATTGAATTTGGACAGTGGTGGCATGCAAATACTTGTTGATCTTCTGTTCATCCATGTCATCAGCAGTGATGCCCTGAAGGAGTTCATAGAGTCGCTCCAACTTCTTGGAACAATCCATAAGCTGGGTGGTGAGTTCACCTGAATATTCCACCCCCTTCAAACTCAGCGACAGCTTCCGAGCAATAGCCGCTTGAGTCAAGGCTTCAGATGCTGCATCCTTCGCTTGCCTGGGCTGTTAAGCAGGGAACCAAAGCGTGGGCTTGAGGTGCAGTCGAGCTCAACAAATTGGATCCCAAACTTGTATGTTGAAGATTGTAAATATTGATCTTGAATCCCAAGCTGTATTGATAATATATATATAATAAATCTATCTATCTATCAACATAATATATATGTCACTATATGCATTGATAATATATATATATATAATATTTACCTATCTATCTATCTATCTGTCTATCTATCCATCCATCCATCCATCTGGCATCCATTTTGGGAGTGTTTCGTTGGATCTATCTATCCACCCATCCATCCATCCATCTGGCATCCGTTTTGGGAGTGTTTCGTTGGATCTATCTATCTATCCATCCATCGATCTGGCATCCATTTTGGGAGTGTTTCGTTGGACCCAAAAACAATTGTCTGTTTGCATTCAACATTCACTGTTTTTTTTGGGGGGGTCCATGCACGGAAATTCAAAACCAGTCGGTGGCACTCCTTATCCTTTCATAACTATAATGTGATATCACTCTTTGAGTGAACTCGTTCTCTCTCTCTCTCTCTCTCTCTCGTTCTCTCTCTCTCTCTCTCTCTCCCTCTCTCTCTCTCTCTCTCCCCCGCTCTCTCTCCCCCTCTCTTTCTCCAGAATTCTCCATACCTTAAGAAAGAAATGATTGTAAAACAAGGGATGTCTGTGGGGGTCACCCCTTGTTTCAAGATGTTTAAGCAAACACGGATGCAGCTCTCAGACGAAAGACTTCTTGGATTTCCTGTGTAATGTTTGAGAGCAATGAAGGCAACTGTATTTCAATTTTGTCATTTTCAAAACTAATGGTAGCTGTTGTAGTTGCATCTCTTGCGAACAGTTTGAGAACAACTAAGATCACTACTCATGAAGGGTCTTGGGTTCCACCGGGACTGCTGGCTCCTGCGTAGTGCGCGGCTTGGCCTTGCGCTTGGCCACCGGGGCTTCCATCAGAGTTTCCCAGGTGTTCTTGTCACCTTCGGCCTGCGAGACATCCATCTGGGGAAGAGCTCCAGCAGCAAGAGGACCTGATTCACCGGTGAGGGCAGCAAGTGTGGTTTCATCAGGGCTGGTAACTCCCTTGAGGGTCATGGACTCCTTTGTAAGGTTCTCCGTGCTGACACTTCGAGCTTTCCCAGTGTAATAGAATATCTCCTGCATCAGGGAAACATCTCAGGAAACACCTCCAGAAACATGGTATTTTCAGTGGTATTGAAACAACCCTTTCCAAGACGAATGCAATGTATTGTTGGGCGCAAGATCTAACCCCATTCCCCTTCATCGCTCAGTAGTTCATTATTTTGAAGTATTATCTATCTTCATGTATTTGAAACTGCACTTTCCAGGATGGGTATGATCGGTACAACCTATCTATATATACAATACAAAACACGTTTGCGCACAAGCTGCTCATCGCTGGAAACCTCTTGAACTAGTAGAGATGAAACTTTGAATCCATCCATCGAACCATCCATCCATCCATGCATACATACATACAGACAGACAGACATACGGACATACATACATAATCATACATACGCATACCCATAAACAAATATATATATATATATATACAGTATATATATATATATATACACTCCTCTAAATACACTCGAAACTATATCTTTATGTATAGACCCAACCCCGCTCCTCTTCGTCATTGGGAAAATCCGGATCCCAATACCACATGCCCCGGGATCGAAGAAGGGTGGCCAACTTCTTGGCTTTCTCCGGTGGGTACTTGGCCTCGATATCCCTCAATTTCATCCCCTCTCGGCCACTGGCTGTGCGATTCACAGTTTCGGCAGTGCGCTCCACATGCAATGCCACCCTGGGAAGTAAGCAGAAAGGCATAAAGAAATGTGTTTTTCTGTGAAATTGATTGAAACTGCTGGGCTCCCACTATTTTGGAACACACCATGCCCGCAATTTATTTCCCATCCCCATTAGCCTTTTTACTTTTCAATTCGGCATGATGAACTCTGTTGAACAGAAAAGGAATATGGATGTCCTGTCAAGCAACTCGTGAAGGTCCTTGCCGTGAGCCAACCAAAGGTTGAACAAATCAACCTTATCCCGTGCGAGATGTTCCGATAATCGCACCGGGAACTTCTTCTTGTTCAACACTTCTCTGCTGAAAGTATCCCACTCTTTCTTGTTGGTTCGACCTTGGATGGGGAGACATGGACTTGATGTAAAGGGTAGACACCAGATGACCACAATCAACCACCGTGATGGGGACCCCTAAAATCAACAAATCCAAATATAATTTATCAGAGTCAATTGAAAATTGTTCACACCACCCGGAAGGACATGTTTTGGGCAAAATTGCAAATAGTAATAGTTTCTGAATGCTCATGGATAGTGACTGTTGGCCCTTTGGGCAGGGATATCCACGGCCGACCCAGCTGCCTCATCGATCTTGTCGCCTTTGCTCGATGCAGGAGCTGGAGCTGTGTCAGCATCATCATTGCTGGTTTCATCATCCACGGTCTCTTGGCTGGACTGGGAAGATTCCTCAGAGGAATCGTGGGAGCTTGGGTCAGAGGCTGCCTCATCATCCATCGATTCGTCACTCTCATCCAACTTTTTCAAAGCGAGGGCTGTGGTGCTGGGGACAGCGACCTCCTGATCGATCTCCTTCTCTTCCTCCTCCCCCTGCTCCTGTCCTTCTCCCTCGTCCTGGCCCTCCTCCCCACTGTCTTCTAACATCTTCTCGAACTTCTCTTGCTCCACCAATTCCTCTGCCTCGAGCTGAGCGATCAGCTCATCAATGTCTGGGACTTTCAAGGAACTCTTCTCTGCTCCTGCCACAACTGCTAGATCTTCATCCAGATGTGCTTCGTTCTTTTGGGGTTCCTCTTTCTCATCATCGCCTTCCCTCCTTTTCTTGACTGGACCATCCCCAGTCTGATCTCCTTCTGGCTCTCTTTTCTTCTTTGTCTTTCCTGCCTCCTCATCCTTGGACTTCTTCTCTTTCTTATGCTTCTTCTCCTTCTCCTGTTCCTTCTTTCCATCCTTCTTCTCTCTCTTGTCGGTCTTCTCTGTCTTTGAGTTCTCGGCCACAAGTGGCTTTGCTTCTGCATTTGGTTCTGTCTTCTGCTTCTTGCATTCCTTCGCCTCCTTTCTCTCTGTGTTCGACTCCTTTCTCTGTTTTTTCGACTCCTTTCCATCCTTCGCCGGCTCCTCTCTTCGATCCTTCTTCGACTCCTTACCATCCTTTCTTGACTCCTTATCCGTCTTTCTTGACTCCTTGCTCTCCTTCTTTGACTCCTTGACATTCTCCTTTGGCTCCTTCTTGTCTTCTATTGCCTGAACCTTTGCACCCTTCTCATCACGTGTGCCTGATGGGCGCCTGAGGGCTGACTTCCTTTCCTTATTCTCCTCTTTCTCTTTCTTCTCCTTCTTCTCATTCTTTTGACGACCTGTCTTGTCTCCCCTGTCTCCCTTCTTGGTATCTCCTTTTCCCTCATTGTTGAGTGCCGGCGACACCAAGCCACCAGTTCCTCGATCAGTAGGGGTAGAGTAGACGAACCGGTTGGATGATGATCCAGCTTCTGAGGGCGTCATAGTGGAAGGGGTACCACCATCTTTTTTGTGGACATCACTCGGCCGTGTTTTCCCTGAAAGCCTACGAGGGAGTGGGTCCGGGGCCTGCATTTGACCCTTCTTTGTTTTGGCCATGGGCCACTGATCAAACCGACCTACGTTTCAAAACGTCTATGTCAGTGACAGCAGCTTTGGACCTTTCAAAATCCTGCAGTGGTATGCAGTGGTGACAACTGATACGTTTCATAATGCAATCTTTGATTTGAAGGTGACAGGATATCAAGAAAATATGGGTTCTACAAATTCATAATGCAATCTTTGATTTGAAGGTGACAGGATATCAAGAAAATAATGGATTCTACAAATCGCAACTTTTCTCGGCAAATCGCAGCTTTTTCTCGGCAAATCGCAGCTGCCTATTTCATAACTTAACATATAAATTTATGATTTCGCATCCATGGGTCTGCTTGCCCCACCATGCCCATTCCAAGCCTGGTTTCTGTAAGGTCTTGAGCACCAGTCGCGGCATTGGTCACCTCCAGGCTAGAGCTGTGGAATATCTCGGGGGTACTCCACTGGGATGTGGTGGAGGAGGGTTGGGGACAGAGCTGAAGATGCTCCTTGATTGGTCTGAAAATGGACATTGGTAGAAGAACCCTGAAGGCATCCATATTCAGCATTTTCCCCATTTCTCAGATGATTCTATCCCATCTCCCAAAGGCTCACTGCATAAACGCTGAGTGAACCACTGTGCTATCATATCGCAGCGATTGAGTAGGTATTCCACTCAACCTTCTTTGAATTTTTGGTGCAAAAGGATTCCTACATTTATTTTGTGAGGAACTCCAGCACTGGGTTTAAATCTGCTGATTTGATCCAGCTTTGAAAATCCGAGCTCAGCTTCCGTGGGGCACGTTGCTTCCCGCCAGCGGCTTTGCACAGGAAAGCTGCAGCTGCTGCTTTCACTTCGGACTGGTGTCTGGTCCTCAGCCTTGCCAAAGCCCGGCCGAACCTTGGCGTGTGCCAAGAAAACGTTTGATATGGGATAACAAATCAGGGTGGACCCAAAAGTGTTTTTACATTAACCCTACAGCCATACTATTTCCATGTTCAAATTTTGAATTCCAAAGAACTTTTCAGGGGTGGATCCAGCTGATAAGCACAAGCAACCCATCTGTAAATACATAACCATTAAAAACTAAGACCAATCCAATAGCCTAAGGAACTGCCTGGTGTAGGCCTGGCTTCCTTTTAGGAAGCGGGACCCTTTTACCCGATTGATTCCTTTGGAGTCAACATACTTCTCAACTAGCTGCACGGACTGCCTTTGTGGGAGTGTCGCAGGCTTGAAA